ACCTAAATCTCCCTTCCCTCAACTTAAAACCATTTCCCCTTGTCCTGCTGTCACTCACCTTTTCAAAGAGCCGATTCCCCTCCTGTTTGTAGGCTCCCTTTAGGTACTGAAATGCTGCAATGAGGTCACCCCGCAGCCTTCTTTGCTCCACTTGCTGGGCAGCAAGAGAGCACACCAAGTAACCGCTGTGAAGTTAAAGGCAGTTTTCACAAGGAAATGAAAATAGCACTAGATAAATCTTTGGGGGAAGCAAAATTGAAATATAGAAAAAATTGTGAAAAATTGTCCCTTCATATTTAATCTGTGTAAATGTAAAAAGTACCATACATACATAAATCTGAAATTTTTTTCTTTTCCTGTTATGTATACAAAACCATGGGATAGTTTATCTTGCTTTCTTCTAAAAGTCAAATGAATGCATTGAGCCAAGTAAAATATTCATTAGAGTAATTGGTTCAGTTCAACCTTTTAGGACTACAGCTTGGAAATATATGTGCTGTTGCCTTTAGAAATGCAGCACGCTGTTTCAACAACCCTTTTATTCAACTCATTTTCTTCCCATATGTTTTCTATATTTTGCAAAACCTATTTAAGTAAAAGCTGTAGCAGTTTCCAAACAATATTTGATGTTTTTTTTTTTTTAAGTCAAACATTAACTGCTAGCAGGTATGAAACCTGTTTAGTTGTAAGACACATCAGGACTCTACTGGTTTTAAATATTTTTTAATTAAAACAATAGTATATGTAAGTATTTATGAAAGTATCATAGGAAAAAGTTACTTGTTCCTCAAATAGCCATCTATCTGTTAACTCATTTAGATGTGCTTAAATGAAGTGTAAAACTTATTAATATGATAGCTAGGCAATTTTCAGAGTAGGATTTGTTTTCAATTTCATGTGAAGTCGTCATACCCATAGGTTTTCATTTTTCCTCCCCTCTGTGATGGGCATCTGCCTCAAACCATATGGTTGTGGAAAATGTTGGTTGAAACAGTTCTGTCAAGATCATGGCTAGAAGAAAAACCTACCTTACTTTTCACTTCTAAAAACGTTGTAAAGCCCTTCTGCTTTCATGTGGGGGAACAGGAACTCGAAGTTCAGCCCAGATGGATCCCCTGTGCCAGGGACAGGCTTATGCTTTCTATGAAAGTCTGCCGAATATTGGCCAACTCGCCTACCTTTCACAACTTGTTCACTTCCAGCAGGGATGTGCATAGGCTGAGAAGCTCCTCTATCCTCAGGAAACCTTTCCCAGCCTCCGTTCCTGGTGTGTGTAGATGCAGCCATATCCTATCCCAGGTCCTGTGCCCGATCCAGACGTTTGTGTGCAGTCATCACAGGCAGAGAGGAGGCTGGCAAAGCTCTGCCTTGTGCCCAGCTGGGATTTTAGCAGGTTGCCTTGCAGCTGCCACCAGCTCCAAACGTCAGACCCAGGGCGCTATTCTCCACAGCTTCCTTTCCCTTCTGACTATCTAAAGATCAGGAGTGTTGTCAGAATTGATGCAGAAATTGAGACTGTTATAACTGACTCATTAAGCTAACTACAGTTGTTCAATGAGTGTTGATCATGTTGCAGGAAAAAAAAAAAAGGTATCTCTTGAAATACCAGTTTTGCAGTTGTCAAGCAGGAACCATTGTAATGGAGGTTGTTGGCAACCATGTCATGTTGGTAGACCCCCCCCTCCAGCCAAACATGGGTTACCTTAGAGAAGAACGTGGGTTGTGCTTTCCTCTGGAGCCAGCAGCACACAGGAAGGAGGCAGGATGGATGCATGATGAAGAGAGCTTAGAGGGCTTGCAGCTGTTGGGCAAAGCCAGGGGACCTCTAGGCTCAGCAGCCTGAGATTTTTTCAAAACTGGGAATCCTGTAGCAGCTGACACTTACTTGTTTTCTTACTTACTGTTTTCTTGATCTCTTTGTCACCTGTCATTGGTGTCTTGGAGATTTGTGAATGTGGATTACATTAAAAGAATGACATAGTCTTGGTGTCTGTCTGTCTGTGCTTACCAAACATGAGTATTCCCAACAGCTGGATCAGACCACTTGGGTCAAGACTATCAGCTTTATTCCTGTTACTACCTTTGGCAAAAAGTTGGTAAAAAGTATTCATGAATCTGATCATCTAAGAAATGAGAGTCTTCTTCACCAGGATTTGCTCTCTTCAGATCTCTTTCTGTTAAGTTTTTAACCTCTGTGTAAGCATCCCCACTCTTATTTATGAGATACATAGCTTTCTAGATTCAAGTCACGCTGCTGAGAAACTTGGAATATTCTAGAGTTTTAAAGAAGTGGTTTGTAAAAATTGATGAGCTCTTTGGGTAATGTAATCTGAAAAGGAAGACTTAAGAAAATAACCCCATGGTTGATTGCAGTACAAAACTTAATGCTGACTGAACGTTGACTCAAGGAGCAAAATGTCACTCTTCCTGCATTTCATTTTTATTTCTATCCCATATACTGCTTTGAGAATGTTTTTCTTATAGAAATGAAGTCTGCTTCTAGCAGAGCGATTTTTTTATGAGCAATTTCCACTGGCAGATTAAATAAGCTATTTGCATATTATCAATAAATGTGGCCTTGCACTGTTAACACACGGAAGTCTTATTCCATTGGTAACGTTTTATGTAGTAGCAAACATAATTTTAGTACTGAAGTAAATATGATAGATAAATGTTTATGAACAACCTATAATATCATGTATTTAAACAGTGCCTGATGCTATATGATGCTGGTGATAAGAGGAAAGAAGTGAAAGAAATGCTAGCATGAACACAAACTATGTTTATGGGCATGTGTAACATTGTGGAACATCTTAACAATATGTTGTAAAGTTACATATGCCTAATTCTGTACTATGATGACACTGTGGCAATGTCAGTCCTGAAAAAACTGCTTTCTCTTATGAGGGGCTACCTGGCACTTCTGAAAAACAGACTCTGTATTTCCATCTTGCCAGTCACTTTTGGAAACCATATGGCTGCTGTGGAATAAATGAATATGCGAGCAGTATGGCAATAGGAGGCTTCAAAATTCTGTTTTGTGCTAATTGGAGAGGAGATTCATTGAAATATACAGCATTCAGGAATAATAAATTACAGTGCTTGGTGGTTTTTTTTATTATTATTATTATTTAGGTGATACTCTGTAGGAGTTCTTAGCATCTTTCTAGTATACCGTGGTCTCTTAGGTTACAATGTCCCTTAGTTTTGTGCACTTAGACCTTACAGAGATATTTATAAGATGAAAGTAAGTTCCCTATACTTCTAAGGAGTGTTTGCTCATGGAAAGTATTTTCCAAATGAGTCCAGTTGTTTTGCCTAATGGCAAAAATGTCCTTGGCATTTCCACCACCACCTTTGAAAGCTTAGGATGTCGTGTGCCAGTGCTCACAGAAGCTCTCAGCTTAGCTGAGTATCGGCACGAGTGAAGATGTGCAGGATAGAGGTGGTCCTTTTGACGTCTGTGGGAGCTGCTGTGTGCTGAACGCGTGTGCTGAGTGCCTCGGATGTCTGCGTTGTGAGTGGTGAACTACTGTAAATAAATCCATCAGAGGTCTACAGTGATTGCAGTGCTAATGTGTACGTTCAAAACAAGAATTCTCACTGACAAAGTAAACTGCTAGGTTATGTTGTCTCACTCGTAGATCCAGCAGCCGACAGTGATCAGCTCTGCAAGCGCTCACCCTTGAGCCTGAGACCCCAGCTCCTCAGAGGCAGATCATTTTCCTGGAGCCAAAGCAGCAAACCAGGGCCGTTTTTCCTCCCCGCACCCAGGCCGCTCCCAGCCCCAGGTACCGATCCTTTGGCTGGGAGGTGTGACGTGCCCGCGGTGGCTGGGCGCTCCGGCAGGCAGCTATAATTAGCTGAGCAGCCGCTAAGCAGCGGTGACAGGGTGGGAGCCGCAGCGAGCATGTGCCGGATCCTGCATGTGCCTGGTTCTTATTGGCAGGCTGAGCTGCTGCCTGCCGGTTTGATAGGTTTCCCCAGTAATCTGCGTGCTGCATTACAGACATAGATACAGAGGTACTGCGCGCACGCAGCGCTGGAGGTGCTCAGCTCGTAGCATGAGAGCCCGCAGATGAAAGGCATTGCTCTTTGTTACCAAACATCAGTACTCGAGGACTGCTAGCCGCTAGCAGAGAGGTCGGTGGAGGAGTTTTACTTCGTGGTAATTACTTTCAGGTCTTTATCTTTCCGGTAAAACACAGCCGTGCATGAAATGAATACTGTTAATCATGTCATCTGTTTAATTTGATCTTACTTTTGTTAATATCGTGTGTTTTCTGGTGGGAGAGCCGTCAGATTACCAAGCGTGTCATTAGAGCGGATTTAGTAGAAAAATAGGGTGTGTTTATGCAGGAATATTTCTTTCGTTTGGAATCTCTAGCCTGTGCATGCGAGTAATTTTCCTGTAGCCTTTTGTAATGCTAATAGAAATATTGCTTTTATTGGAATGCGTTGTGCAAGCAATTGAATTAGAGCATTTATGACCATTGGTACACGAAGAGGAATCTCCTAACAGTGATTAGTTTAAAGGATAATTTTGCCAAGTGTTCTTTAATTTGATCAGAGTAATGACTATCCTGGTGCTTCTCTCATGGAAAGAGAGAGAGATGAGGACTATATGCTATTGTTCTTACAACAGAGATGCTGTAGCCTTCGTGTCTGGGTGGATTCTTTGTTTCATCCACGGGTTTTATTTTCAGTGGCTTTCAAAATGAAACTAAAGGCACCCTGTCTGGTAGACTGCAGTATCCATTCCTCGCACACACACACACATATATATTTGTCTGTATTGTTCTCAAAGGCTAAATTTTGGCCCAGAGCCTTGTTTATCGTCAGAACTGCCTTCAGCAGTAGAATGAAACATGATGGGTATGCCAGTCTTTCCCCTGTGATTCCAAGACTTTCACAATATTTACCACTGCATTTAAGTTCGCATTGTTCTTGACCTGCACATCAATTGATGACAACTTTTCCTATAAAAAGCATGCATATTTGATGAACAGGTTTTACAGCTAAAGCTGTTCAGACGATAGGGAAGCAAGCATGAAGTATTCAAAAAAAAAAAAGTCTCTCAATGTTGTCGTTGACTTTGGAATACTGAAGCTGACTGTTGAGAGTTGGAAGTTGGTGCCCTTGTCTGTGTCAGTCTCCAGAGCCCAGATAAACTTGTGCATGAAGTCACCAGCCCTCTGGCTGGCTGCCACCATGCGTCGGAGGGACGAGGTTGTCTCAGCAGTGTCAGGAAGGTGTTGAGAACAGGAGCTATTTTGGTGTCAGCTTTCACTCTTCCCTCCGCGCCTCCCTACAAGGATGCTTTTCCTAACGCCCAGACCAACGCAAAATCAAGTTGTTTGTTCTTTAACTGTCTGGTGGGAAACTACATTAACCCTTGGAGTAGATACCCTTAAAACCTGTGTATTTATGCATTTACTAACTTTATATGGCTGTGAGCACAGCAGTTATGTGTGCTTTGTTATTCATCACAGCGTATTCAAAAGGGAAAGTATTTGGGATGTTTTAATCACAGCTGGCAGGTACCAGTTTCTTTGAATGTTTGCTACTGACTAGAATAGTACTTTGTGAACGTTCACCAGGGTTTTGTTTTGTTTCTGAAGCTGTTTTTCTGCTGTAGACCTGTGATGCAAAAAAAGCCATTTCCCAACAGTTAAGTTTGGACTGGGAGGACCTGGCTGTGAAGGTGGGTTGTTTGGGGTGCCATATATTTCTCCTTGCTTGAGGGGACCAACCAGAAGCCTCTTAAAGAGGTGTTCAGTTAATTTATGCCTTCTGCCTTCTTAAAGAGGCTTTCATGAAGTAATTATCTCTATCTTCATGACCTCTGTGACATGAGGGAGTAAGTAATGGTTAGTTATAGCTAAAGAAATGTAGAAGTTCCCCACCTGAATAACGTATTTGCTATAGGAAGGCAGCTCATTTATTTTCTGTTTCAGTTGTTTAGTTGTCATTATTTGTAAGCAACATTAGACATAACAGGAAAAAAAATGTTGTGACAGCATATCTTTGGTGGTGAATATATCACCTGCTCCCATAGAAACTGAAATACTGCACCCCATAGCTATTAAGGTGTGCATCTCCTTACCTTCTAAAAGGGCTGTGATGGTCTATACAAGCATCTCCAGAAAAAAGACAGTCATGAAGCTAGAGCTGGTAATAGTTCAATTTAAACTTAAAATGCTTTAACAAAAAGGAATAAGCTACTTTGTTATTGAGTCTGTCATTTTTTTTTTTTCCAACCATCTCCTTTTTGTTCTTGGTAAACAAAGAAAACAAATTGAAGCAACAGTTATTGAGTGATGTCTAAAAAAGTTGTCATCTTTTTGCTGTAAACATTATAGCATATATAGCATATATATGAACCGTGGCGTGCTAATTGCTGCAGAAATCTAATACACTTCAGATTATTCTTCTTGAGGTTTTACATTCACATCTGCTAGAAATTTTTGTGACTTCAGAGTTTGTAGTTGCTGTTTGAGAGGAGATGGCTGCATAGTGCATTTGCTCCATGCCTCATCTCTGCTGTGTTGCTCTGTAGTTAAATCTCTGCGTCATTCATTAAGTGAAGGAGAAACTTTTCCTTTCCAATCAAGAATCATGGTCTGATAGTGATAGGACAAGAGAGAATGGTTTGAAAATAAAAGAGGGGAGATCTAGTTTAGATGTTAAGAAGGTGCTTTTTACTCAAAGCGGTGAGGCAGTGGCACAGCTGCTCAGAGAAGCTGTGGTCCCCCATCCTGGAGGTGTTTAAGGCCAGGTTGCTTGGGGTCCTGGGCAGCCTGAGCTGGTGGGGGCAGCCCTGCCCATGGCAGAGGGTTGGAACTGGGTGGGCATTGAGGTCACTTTCCAACCAAAGCTGTTTTGTGATTCTAGAGTGCAGTGGGTATATGGGATGGTAAGAACAGGAAAGTATGTTACAAAAATCAGTGTCTCGTCTGCTGGAGTGTTTCATATGTATATAATTGTCAAATAGTGATTTCAATCGTGTATGCCTAAGATATGTTTGTGTAGAAATGAATATGTTGTTAATGCTTTCAGTGTGGTACCCATAATCTCATTATAGGCCAATGGAAATATTTATATTCCTTGAAGTGTAGTGCTTTCAGGAGCATGGCTTTGACTGCTAGCTGAAGATGGATATATGCAGTAATCTGAGTGCCAGTAATAAACAGTGTTAGACCAGCTCTGCTTTATTAAGATGTTAAGTCTTTTTTAGCATTACATATGTAAGTGCATTTCACATTAGGTAAAACCATACCAAATCTAAAAGAAAGATGATGCTTGAAGTTAATGGTTTTTTTTTTTTTTTTTTTGGTAGTCTGTTAGCAATGAAAGAGAGACTCCAGAAAAATTCATAGGGATTTAAGGTATTACCCAAGAGTTTATTCGTGGGATTTGTACTTACAGGCCTTGCTGTTTTTGAGGTTGAGTAGCAGTAAGTGATATATATATATACACACACACACACACACACACACACACACATATATATATATATAAATAAAGGTTTACATTAAAATGGGAAAAGTGACTTTGTGCCCTAAAGTACCTTTTACCTTTTTATTTGTTTTTGGAACCAACTCCAATTATTACCTTGATGGAACGTCAGTCTTTTTAAATGGTTCAGTAGGGTATCTTTAGTTGCTGCTCATTGCACGTTGTTCACAGGAGATCGCTAGCGTATTCCCTTTGGTTTTCATGGAGAGTGAAAGTCTCTTACATCCTTCAAATCCTCAAACTTTGGAATTGGGCTGAGTGAGACGAGCCTGGCAGAGGAGGTGAGGGATGTTCTGAAAATAAAGGAGATCTCATTGCCTTAGCAGAATAGCAAAATGAGATTGGAACCATGACGTCTTTCCCCATATGGAGATGGCTGGGCAGGATGGGCATTGGGAAGAAGACTCCCCTCGTTGCTAAGTGGCTGATGGGATGGGACAGTGGCTACTATGGGGCTGCTCTTCCTGTCCCATCACTTTCACTCATCTGCCACAGTTTGTTATGTGGGCTGTGTGGAGCTATGTGGGAGACTTGAAGAGAGGATTAAATACGCATTGCTCTAGGCACCTATCTGTCAAATGCTTGCAGTACACAGAGGAAGAACATGTTTTATTGAACAGGGTGACAGAAGCAGCAATATCGTCTCCTTTTGGTTCTTGCAGCTGCGGTATTTTGCCTTAGTTGTGTACTTGGGGAATGGAGGTTGAAAATAAAATGGAAATATTTTTTATTGTTTCACATTTAATCCCTTGTTACAATTAATTCTAATTATTCTTAAATTTATTACCTGGGGTTTTAAGCGTGGCCTGATGGATTTAGTATAGAATGCAACTGACAAACCGTAATCCTGGATGCTGTTGTCTGGGGAATCCTAGTAACAGGATTTCCATCTCTGTTTCTCATTGTCTCTCATGGATGTACTTCAGCCACCTATGGGTACCAGCGCTTGCTGCAGTCTGTTCAGAGAACAGTGGAATTTTTTAACCCAGATCCTCACTTTGTAAATAAATGTGTTTTCTTTAAACATGAATAATCCGTTCCTATCCATAACAGACATTTCTTATTGTGCCTGATACTTCTGAGGTATATTAGTTTATTAATTGAACGTCATTTGTGCTACTGATGATTATATGGCCAAGTATTTTATTGGCTGTTTATCTGCTGGGTTTTGTAGAGTGGTTTTGCTGTATCTGTTCTTAGTATCAATGTGGGCACTACAAAATCTCTATTACTAAAAAAGAATTATATCTGAAGGAAAGGCAGTAATTTAATGTGCTTAACATTTTGGAAGTTGCTAGACTAGCCCAAAGAGCAGGCTGATCTGCTCCCTGGTTAGGAAGTCTGTACGAACACATTCACTATCCACACTGTGCAGTTTGTGGTACTACTTGTATGGGTTGGTAGGGCCATTTAAACTGAGAGAAGTTTGAACATGTAGTTCTGTGTGGGTACACACTTTTTCAGAAGTTTGGGAATATTTGGTTCTTGCTTCTGTTTCGGATCCATGGTTATAACGAGCTCTTCTGAGATCTGGATCCTGTTTTTATAGGTAGTGATAATGAAATAGTGATAATGAAGAGGAGTTATTGATATGGGGAGGCATGTGTTTGCATTATCAGCCAACA